CCCAGCTCTTTGGAGGGAGGGAGGAAAGAGAGAAGGAAGGAAGGAAGGAAGGAAGGAAGGAAGGAAGGAAGGAAGGAAGGAAGGAAGGAAGGAAGGAGAAAGGGAGAGAGGGAAGGAAGGAAGGGAGGAAAGAATGGAAGGACGAAAGGGTGGAAGGGAAGGAAGGAGAGAGAAAAAGAGAGGGAAGGAAGGAAGGAAGGAGAAAGAGAGAGGGGGGAAGGAGGGAGGAAAGAGGGAAGGTAGGACGAAAGGGTGGAAGGCAAGGAAGGAGAGAGAAAAAGGGAGATGAAGGAAGAAACGAAGGAAGGAAGAAGGAAGGAAGGGAAGGAAGGAAGGAAGGAAGGAAGGAAGGAGAAAGAGAGAGAGGGAAGGAGGGAGGAACGAGGGAAGGAAGGAAGGATGGAAGGAAGGAAGGAGAGAGAAAAAGGGAGGTAAGGAAGAAAGGAAAGAAGGAAGGAAGGAGAAAGAGAGAGAGAGAGGGAAGGAGGGAGGAAAGAGGGAAGGTAGGATGAAAGGGTGGAAGGGAAGGAAGGAGAGAGAAAAAGGGAGAGAAGGAAGGAAGGAAGGAAGGAAGGAAGGAAGGAAGGAAGGAAGGAAGGAAGGAAGAGAATGGAGGGAGGGAGGGAGGAAAGAGAGAAGAAAGGAAAGAAGGGAGGGAGGGAGGAGAAAGAGAGGGGGGAGGAGAGAGGAAAGAGGGAAGGTAGGATGAAAGAGTGGAAGGGAAGGAAGGAGAGAGAAAAAGGGAGAGAAGGAAGGAAGGAAGGAAGGAAGGAAGGAAGGAAGGAAGGAAGGAAGGAAGGAAGGAAGGAAGGAAGAGAATGGAGGGAGGGAGGGAGGAAAGAGAGAAGAAAGGAAAGAAGGGAGGGAGGGAGGAGAAAGAGAGGGGGGAGGAGAGAGGAAAGAGGGAAGGTAGGATGAAAGAGTGGAAGGGAAGGAAGGAGAGAGAAAAAGGGAGAGAAGGAAGGAAGGAAGAGAATGGAGGGAGGAGGAAAGAGAGAAGAAAAGAAAGGAGGGAGGGAGGAGAAAGAGAGAGGGGGAAGAGAGGGAAAGAAGGAAGGAGGGAAAGGGTGGAAGGGAAGGAAGGAAGGAGGAGAGAGGAAAGGGAGGGAAGGAAGGAAGGAAGGAAGGAAGGAAGGAAGGAAGGAAGAAGGAAGGAAGGAAGGAAGGAAGGAAGGAAGAGAATGGAGGGAGGGAGGGAGGGAGGGAGGAAAGAGAGAAGAAAGGAAAGGAGGGAGGGAGGGAGGAAGGAAGGAAGGAAGGAAGGAAGGAAGGAAGGAAAGGAAGGAAGAAGGAAGGAAGGAAGGAAGAAGGAGAAAGAGAGAGGGGGAGAGAGGAAAGAGGGAAGGTAGGATGAAAGGGTGGAAGGGAAGGAAGGAGAGAGAAAAAGGGAGATAAGGAAGGAAGGAAGGAAGGAAGGAAGGAAGGAAGGAAGGAAGGAAGGAAGGAAGGAAGGAAGGAATGGAGGGAGGGAGGAAAGAGAGAAGAAAGGAAAGGAGGGAGGGAGGAAGGAGAAAGAGAGGGGGAGGAGAGAGGAAAGAGGGAAGGTAGGATGAAAGGGTGGAAGGGAAGGAAGGAGAGAGAAAAAGGGAGATAAGGAAGGAAGGAAGGAAGGAAGGAAGGAAGGAAGGAAGGAAGGAAGAAGGAAGGAAGGAAGGAAGGAAGGAAGGAAGGAAGGGAGGGAGGGAGGAAAGAGAGAAGAAAGGAAAGGAGGGAGGGAGGAAGGAGAAAGAGAGAGGGGGAAGGAGGGAGGGAGGAAAGAGGGAAGGTAGGATGAAAGGGTGGAAGGGAAGGAAGGAGAGAGAGAAAGGGAGATGGAAGGAAGGAAGGAAGGGAGAGAAGGAGTAAGAAAAGAGAGAAGGAAGAATAGGATGGTGAGAGAGAGGACAGCCAAAGAAAAGAGCCCAAGAGGCCACCTCTGGCCCCCAGGCATGAGTTTGCCAATACCTGGGAGAGATAGATATAGATGGACAGACAGACAGACATGGATAGAGAGATACTTTTGAGCAGTGTTTGGTTGAATCTATGGATCCAGGCCCTGTGAATATGGAGGAACAGCAAATGAAGCAGATCATTGATACCGAGACATCTTTGTGCGTCTGGCTCTGGGTCGGTTTGGAATATTTTGGTGCCTTTTTTCACATGTGGAAGAATGAGAACGATCCCAAAGGCCGAATGTCTCCCCGCACCTGCGCTAAGCACGGAACGACACAGGATTCTCGTAATGAAAACCAGAGACAGGGGAAAGTTTGCATTTGTCTCTCATTCCTTTGCGCCCCTTCCCTCTTTTCAGTCAGACAAAGAGAAGGATTGGAGCCCAGCCTTCTCCCTGAGATGCGAATTGTCTGCAAAAGAACGAAACCTAAAGCAAAACTTGGCAACACGTCCCCTGAAGTCGCACCAAGGATGTTTGTGCTTCCCAACTGCTTGGAAACATTTCCCAAATCATAGAGCAAATCATATATATATATATATATATATATATATATATATATATATATATATATATATGCTCTGTGCACTTAATTTGGCAACAAAACATCTCACAACCCAAAGAGTGACCATCACTCAAAATATTATGATTTTGTCATATCGGAGTTGTGGGATTTATAGTTCACCTACCATCAGAGAGCATTCTGAACTCCACCAATGATGGAATCGAACCAAACATGGCACACTGGACTCCCACGACCAACAGAAAACACTAGAAGGGTTTGGTGGGCATTGACCTTGAGTTTGGGAGTTGTAGTCACCTACATCCAGAGACTATTATGGAATCAAACAATGATGGATCGGGACCAAACTTGACACTTTCACTCAGTATAGAGTTTGGGGAAAATAGACCTTGACATTTGGGAGTTGTAGTTACTGGGATTTATAGTTCACCTACAATCAAAGAGCATTCTGGACTCCACTAACAATGGAATTGAACCAAACTTGGCACACAGAACTCCCATGAACAAGAGAAAATACTGGAGGGGGTTGGTGGGCATTTACCTTGAGTTTGGGAGTTGTAGTTACTGGCATTTATAGTTCACCTAAAATCAAAGAGCATTCTGGACTCCACTGACAATGGAATTGAACCAAACTTGGCACACAGTTTTCCCATGACCAAGAGAAAACACTAGAAGGCTTTGGTGGGCATTGACCTTGAGTTTTGGAGTTGTAGTTCACCTACATCCAGAGAGCACTGTGGACTCAAACAATGATGTATCTGGACCAAATTGGCACAAATACTCAATATGCCCAAATGTGAACACTACTAGAGTTTGGGGGAAATAGACCTTGACATTTGGGAGTTGTAGTTGCTGGGATTTATAGTTCACCTACAATCAAAGAGCATTCTGGACTCTACTGACAATGGAATTGAACCAAACTTGGCACACACAACTCCCATGAACAAGAGAAAATACTGGAGGGGTTTGGTGGGCATTGACCTTGAGTTTGGGAGTTGTAGTTCACCTACATCCAGAGAGCACTGTGGACTCAAACAATGATGGATCTGGACCAAACTTGACACAAATATTCCATATGCCTAAATATGAACACGGATGGAGTTTGGGGGAAATAGACCTTGACTTTTGGGAGTTGTAGTTACTGGGATTTATAGTTCACCTACAATCAAAGAGCATTCTGGACTCCACTGACAATGGAATTGAACCAAACTTGGCACACAGAACTCCCATGAACAAGAGAAAATACTGGAGGGGTTTGGTGGGCATTGACCTTGAGTTTAGGAGTTGTAGTTCCCCTACATCCAGAGAGCACTGTGGACTCAAACAATGATGGATCTGGACCAAATTGGCACAAATACTCAATATGCCCAAATGTGAACACTGGTGGAGTTTGGGGAAAAGAGACCTTGACATTTGGGAGTTGTAGCTGCTGGGATTTATAGTTCACCCGCAATCAAAGAGCATTCAGGACCCCACCAATGATAGAATTGGGCCAAACTTCCCACACAGAACCCCCATGACCAACAGAAAATATTGTGTTTTCCGATGGTCTTTGGTGACCCTTCCGACACCTTCCTCGCAAACAACTCCCTGCAGGTTGAGAAACGCTGCTCTAGAACCTTCTCTCGCCAAACTACAACTCCCAGGATGCCATTGCACGGATCTATCACACCCAGTGTTGGATCCTTGTGTTTCTTAATATGTTGTGTTTTATTGTCGATGTGTTATTTATAATGGTTTCGTATTGTATTTTTATTTTTTTGGTTTAATATTATTGTTGTGTTGGTTTATACTGATGTATTGTATTGTTAGGCTTGGCCTCATGTAAGCCATCCCGAGTCCCCTTGGGGAGATGGTAGCAGGGTATAAACAAAGATTATTATTATTATTATTATTATTATTATTATTATTATTAATAATAATAATAATAATTAATGAAGTCCAGTCAAACTGCATTTACTCTACAGTGTAGCTGCATCCTATTGTTAGAGACCCTAAATTGGTTCTTCTTAGGTCCACATCACGGAAACACGTAAAGAAGGAGACAGTCCCAAAAAAGATTAAAAAAACAAGGTTCATTTTAGTTTCTTCATGAAGAAGACGGACAGCCTGGCAGCATACGCAGAGGCTACCCTTCAAGTGACTGCCGTGTCCCTCCTCTTTTTCTGCTGACTTTTATACTCAAGTAATAGGTCATGGAAAGTACTCTCTTTCCAGCCCCTCTCCCTTGACCTTTTGATGGAAAGTACCTTCTTGTACCTGCAGACTCTGCGCTTAACCACAACCTTTGAACTTAACCACAACACAACTCCTGACCTCTACATGTCACATCTTGTTTCTTAAAAGCATTTTCTTCCGTGATGCTCCTTTTCTACAGAGAAAGGGTATATTTCTCTTTTGCTGTTAATTTCATTCAAAGCCCTTTGCTTAGCATTTGCAAATTTCACTCAAAGACCCTTTCACTATATTAGCCAAGCTCCCAATGGAGTTTGGGAGTTACAAAAATATGCTGACATGAGTGGAAAGCATAGATTGACAGGTACTCACCATACTGACAGCGGGGCCCTTGGAAGCCCGAGGGACAATGGCAGACCTGGAAGGACCCTTCCATGCACTTTCCTCCATTGAAACACACTCCATCATTGCAGACAGCTGGAAAAAGAGCAAAAGTATTGTTATTGTTGTTGAAACTCAAAATGGCTCACCACATTAATAATAATCTACATAAATAAAAATGTAATGTTCGTTTGTGGTATTCACAGAACTCAAAAAACACTGGACGAATTGACACCAAACTTGGACACAAGACACCTAACAACCCAATGTATGTCCTTCACTCAAAAATATGATTTTGTCATTTGGGAGTTGTAGTTGCTGGGATTTATAGTTCACCTACAATCAAAGAGCATTCTGAACTCCATCAGCAATGGAATTGAACCAAACTTGGCACACAGAACTCCCATGACCAACAGAAAATACTGGAAGGGTTTGGTGGGCATTGACCTTGAGTTTGGGAGTTGTAGTTCACCTACATCCAGAGAGCACTGTGGACTCAAACAATGATGGATCTGGACCAACTTGGCACGAATATTCCATATGCCCAAATATGAACACAGATGGAGTTTGTGGGAAATAGACCTTGACATTTGGGAGTTGTAGTTGCTGGGATTTATAGTTCACCTACAATCAAAGAGCATTCTGAACCCACCAATGATGGAATTGAACCAAACATGGCATACAGGACTTCCATGACCAACAGAAAACACTGGAAGGGTTTGATCTTGAGTTTGGGAGTTGTAGTTCACCTACATCCAGAGAGCACTGTGGACTCAAACAATGATGGATCTGGACCAAACTTGACACAAATATTCCATATGCCTAAATATGAACACGGATGGAGTTTGGGGGAAATGGACCTTGACATTTGGGATTTGTAGTTACTGGGATTTATAGTTCACCTACAATCAAAGAGCATTCTGAATCCCACAAACGACAGAATTGGGGCAAACTTCCCACACAGAACCCCCATGACCAACAGAAAATACTTAAGGCCACCCAGTCCAACTCTCTTCACCAGGGCAAGAAAACGGAATCAGAGCCCTCCTGACAAAGAGCCAGCCAGCCATAGATATAGATAGATATGCTTCACACACACACAGATATAGTATCATAGATTTGAAAGAGACCCTTAAAGAAGGACTATGATATGTTGCATATTCCAGAGTAGGCAAACCAGACACTCTCCACATCAACACTGACAAAGAAACAACAAGAAATACTGTTTACTCACAAGCATAAAGGAATTACATATATTAGAAACCAACACTTTCTCATTACTTTATTTTCCAGATCACCAGACTGGGCCACAGCAACGCGTGGCAGGGGACAGCTAGTAATAATAATAATAATAATAATAATAATAATAATACTTTATTTATACCCCGCTCCATCTCCCCAAGGGACTCGGTGCGGCTTACATGAGGCCACGCCCATCAGTACAATACACACAATATAACACAACAACATAACAAAACCAGAAAATAAAATACATAAAATGCAAAACCAATATAATAAGCGACACAACAATATGAAATCAAACCTTAAAACACAAAAGATTTCACTGGGCAGGGCCAAATTCAAGGATAAAATTTTGAAACACCGGGAGATAGGACAATGCAAATTATCAGGAGGAGGATCCGGGGATTTATTATTTATTTATTTGCAGCTTTTATATTCCGCCCTTCTCCTCACCCTGCAGGGGACTCAGGGCGGATTACATTGTACACATATATGGCAAACATTCAATGCCAATTTTTGACATACAAACATGTTACGGGAGTGTCCCCGTTTTCCAAGATTCCGAGATCAGCGAAGAAGGAAGAGACAGAGACAGCTGTTGCAAGTTCACAGAATTTATTGCTTACCCCGGGTAAGGGTGCCCCAGCTTCAACATGGCTGATGTGGCACAGAGCACTACCCCAAAAGCATCCAGTATTTATAGGCAGAATTACTTAGTTTGCACATGCGCATAATTCTCTTGACATTTACACAATCTAATCAATATCAGTTTGTCCTCGAGGAATCACAGCCAAGAACACTTGTTTGGCAAGATATTATAATTTCCACTGCTCCCCTTTCATCAGCTGACCAGCCACTTTCCCAGATGAGATACATAAAAGTGAATCTTAACTTCATATATCTCTTCACACATATATATGACTCCATACATCTTCATATGTGTATCTTTAACTTATTCAAAGCAAGCATTTCCCTTATTAATTCTTCTGTAATTACTTTCACATCATTTTCCTATATTCTTACTTATGTAGGATTGTTCATAAGACTGAATTACCTGCTATTTACATCAGATGGAGGATAGATGGCGCTGTTGTACCATATCTTCAGATGTTTGTTTTTCTTGGATCAATAATTATCGATTTACTTTTAGAGCCAATTCTCTGACCTTCCACATTTAGCACATAGCCGTCCTTCTATTTATTTACTTAAGATATGGTTTCTCCTGCCTTGTCCCAGTCCTGTTCCATCTGTCAATTTTCCCTTCCACCAGAATTCTACCCCCGCACCTTAAGAAAACCTTTAAGGTAAGACTTCTTCATTAATTTCATTAGGTTCTAATTATTTTTCTTCTTGATGACTGCACAAACATATACACAGAGGCTATTTAACTTTTTCTGGCCGCCAGGGGAGCTGTCGCTTTCATCGCCATCTGCGACGCTGATGAAGCACTTCCGCATTCCCCGCATGCTTCCCCGCTGGAATGCTTTGCTGGAGTCTTCTTTATGGCCTCATAAATCAGTTAATTTAGCCTCCCCACACTTTTAAGGTGGTACCTAATTTTCCTACTTGACAGATGCAACTGTCTTTCGGGTTGCAAAGGTCGACAACAGGCTACACACAATTGGTTGGAAACCCACTCCAACCTGGGCTGGCTTCGAACTCATGACCTTTTGGTCAGAGTGATCTTAATGCAGCTGACACTCAGCCAGCTGCGCCACAATCCTGGGGATGAGGAAGAATTTAATTGCATGAACCATAAAATAAAGTGCTTCTGCGGTCATTTTGTGTGAAGTTTGGTCAGGGAGTATCTTACATTCAATCACTGAAGGCATATTGGAATAACCAGGTTTTCAGATTCCTCCTGAAGATTGCCAGGGTGGGGGCTTGTTTGGGGAGCGACTTCCAGAGCTGGGGGGCCACCACAGAGAAGGCCCTCTCTCTCATCCTCTCAAGTCGCACTTGTGATGCAGGCGGGAGCGAGATAAGAGCCTCTCCGGAAGATTGAAGAGGTTGTGTGGGTTTGTGGATGGAAATGCGGTCGCGCAGGTAAGTGGGTCCCAAACCATTTGTAGGTCAAGACCTGCACCTTGAATTGGGCCCGGAAAATAAACAGGAGGGTTGACCGCTCTCTGTAATTCGCACCAGTTAGTAATCTGGAATTGGAATTCCAGAGTTTGGGGGGGAAAGACCTTGACATTTGGGAGTTGTAGTTGCTGAGATTTATAGCTCACCTACAATCAAAGAGCATTCTAAACCCACCAATGATAGAATTGGGACAATCTTCCCAAACAGAACCTCCATGTTTTGCAGGGAATCACTGGCATGAGCCTCCCCTTGGTTTTCCTTGAATCTTGGAGAGCATGCTACCCTTGTTATGGCTATGCTGCAAAACCCAGGGGTTAAGTGTGCAAATCCGTGCTAGGTTTCTCCCAGATTCCAAATGATTCTCAAAGATCTCTTGATGTGCTGGTACAGCTGTATCAGGAGCTGTACCAGGAGCTCCAGAGGTAAAGGTTTCCCATCTTTCTCCATCCCCAGCATCTGGAGGCTGTGCGTCACAGGGAGGTGTTGTTGTTCCATCTTCCATGTCAAGGAGCTTTATTATCTTAAACACTATCCCGATCGAATCACTGGCATATCCGCATGGGCAACTTTTATTACCTCCCCGCCAAAGCAGTACCTATTTATCTACTCACATTACTGTTTTCGAACTGCTAGGTGAGCAGAAGATGGGCTGACAGTTGGGAGCATAACCCAACCCGGGCTTGAACTGTCGACCTTTTGACCGGCAAGATTTCCTACAACTGGCGGTTTAACCCGCTGTGCTAAAGCCCGGCTCAGATGATATTTGGTCCAGGAAGCTAAGCAGGGCAAAGCCAGGTTTGTAATTGGATGGAAGACAACCAATAAATCTCAGGAGCTGCAGGCTGTGTTTCAGAAGAAGGAACTGGCAAAACCACCTCCGAGTATTCCTCAAGTAAGAAAAAACTATGGAATTAATGGAATCATTGAAATTGAGCAATTTAAAGCTAGCGAGATAGTGAGAGCCAGGGAGTGGATAGCGAAACCTGAAGCACGGATACCGAAACCCAGTAAGTGGATACTGGGTCCATGTTCGACAACATCATCACAAGTCAACGGGCAGCATGGTTACACACTTGGTAGACTGTTCCTCTGAAGTCACAGTCAGAAGTCTCCCACTACTCAATTTCTCATTCTCGTCATTTGTCTTAAGAGCTTCAGCCTGGCCGTGGACTCCAACAAAGAAGCCGTTGTTGTTCTCTTCCCTTTAAAGTTTACTCCAAGGCTCTCGACCTGCTTGCAGGTGTGTGTATCCTTGACATAGAACGCTCCTCCTCCTTTCCTGTTTGATTTATTTCTTTAGGTTAGATTAAGTTTCACTTGGTCTCTGTTACAGCCCATATCAACTTCAAAGCGGGAGTTGAAAAGCACAACATGTCCAACTGTTTCCTCCTCCGTCAACATTCCTTTCAGTTTACTATCACTGAAGACGAACAGCCTTTCTGTCTGGTGTTATCAGGTCGGCATCATCTCCTTTAGCAACTCAACAGAGTTCAGCATTTCTGCTTTTCTGGCAAAGGAAAGTCGGAGAAGAGATGGAAATGTTTCTATGGAAAACAGGCTGTCAAAAAAAGCATCAGGCCTGTGCACTTAAGAGCCCCACGGAGAGCTGTTAAATGTCATGTGAAAGGCTGGGCTTCTCCGCCGCTCCCTTCCATCGTGTGTGATGGTGTCTGCTGGACTCATAATGTCCTCCCATGTTGTCGACTCACACCTCATAAATGTAGAGTCAAATGCTTTTGCAGAAGGGATGCTTTACGTCTTTGTTGCTG